ATATTATTGCTTTTTATCTTTATTTTAATAGAACTAATATAGATTATTTATAAAATTATTTTTACTTTTTAAATCAATCATCTAAATTATATAAAATCATACTATTATTATTATTTATTTTTTGCTTTATTTATTTATCTATTTTTTATGGTTTAAAAATTATTTAAATATATTTTTAATGTTTTTTTGACGTTTTGTTTGTCTAATATAATTATTTAATGTTATTTTTTATATGTTTTTTGTTTACATCATTCACTTATACGTAGGACTATAAACGAATTGAATGTTCGGTGAACCGTTCGTAAACTATTCGGTGGAAAGTTCGTTTATGTTTGTTTTTTTAATAAATGAACGAATATGAACAAAAATTATCATTATTTTAGTTAAAAAAAACGTTCACGAACAATGGTCTCGTTCGTTCATTTATGTTCGTGAACGTTCGTTTACGTTCATTGATGTTCGTGAACCATGTGAAACGAGTATAGTGATTAACACAGAGTAAGAAATAATTGTGACCATCAGAAGAGGTAACAGGAGCAGGACCCCACACATCACAAAAAAGTAAATCCAAAACATGAGAACTTTTATTATTTGACGGAAGTAAATGAAGTTTTGAAGATTTTCCAATAAAACAGGAATTACATGGAGAACTTGAACTATTATTCGAAACATGTAAATTAAACTTAGATAGCATAAACTGAAGAAGTTGAGGATGAGGATGTCCTAATCTTTGATTCCAAATGGTAGAGGAAGCCCGAACAGAGGAAAAAACAAGTCTAGATAGCGACTGAAAGGTAGGAAGATGAAGGGTAAAGAGACCACCGTTACTTGGTCCGGTGAGGAGGGTAGTTTGTGTGTCCTCGTCCTTCACAACAAAAAAAGGAAGAGTGAACTTCAAAAAAGACATTATTATCGAGACCAAATTGTTGAACAGAAAGAAGGTGTTTTTTGATATCAGGAACATGAAGAATTTTGTTTAGAGAAAAGGTTTTGTGAGGAGAATAAGCACGTTTTGAGCCAATGTGAAGAATAGGTAAGCCCTTGCCGTTGCTAACATGAAGGTTGTCTTCTCCGTAGTATGGGTCAGTAGTATCGAATCCGTCGAGATTTGGTACAATATGGTTGTTGGAACATGTGTTTGGGAACCATGATGTGGAAGCTTGAGACTGATAATTTGCATAATTGGCAGATGGCTGCTTCATCCGAATAGTGGAAGGGTCTCGGTTGGGGCATTGAAAAGGAGCATGTCCAATGTCGCATCTATTGCAAGTCCCATACACCATGTTCTGATTTGAGGCCCAGCTAAACTGACTATGATTTCCACTACCTTGAGATCGATCTCGATTATTGTTGTAGTTGCCTCCGCGTCCTCCACGACCCCGGTTGTTGTAATTACCACGACTGTGGTTTGAATTGTTGTTACTTGTTTGGTTGGAATAGAGAGCATGTGGTGTGTTTGGATGAATGTTGAGGCCTAACTGAGCCATCAATTATTGAAGAGACTGTAGTGTGTCCGAAGAAATCGAAGGCAGACGGTTCCATGTGGTAGCTGTAAAGGCCTGAACAGGTGGTGGAGATGGAGTATTCTTTCGAAGTAAGTAATCATGATCAGCCAACAATCCATACAGATCTGAAAATACGATAGGGTTCTCCCTACCAAGTAAGGTGGACTTGAGGCCAGAGTATTCTTCTCGTAACCCTGCAATCACGAGCATCATCAGATCTTGTTCATATATTGGTTTACCGATGTTTGCTAATGCAGCAGAGTACTCCTGCGCTCTGGTAAGGTAGGCGGTAGAGGTCTCATCACCTTTCGTCTCGATTTGAAGAAGTTGTATTTTGAGAGTATATTCTCTGGAGGATGTATGTTAGGCGTATGCTCGTTTTAGAGAAAGCCAGAGATCACGAGAAGTTATACCTTGTACATGTTGAAAGGCGGCCTCAGAAATCGTGGGCATGAGTAACATTTTGACGTGGGCATCATTCGACAGCCAGATCAAGTAACTAGGGTTAGGAATGGGTGCAACATCTTTTTCTGTTGATGATATTATGGTAGTTGGTTGAGGAATTGTGCCATCGATATAGCCAAATAAGCTATTGGTAAGGAGAAAGGCTGAATCATGGCTTTCCAGTGCCCATAGTTTGTAGGAGATAGAGTAAAGCCAAATTTGTGAGAGTTGTGCGTTGTTTTATCTTTAGAAGAAAAAAGTATGAGGGTCATTGTAGAGGCAACGGAAGCTAACGCTGGCCAGGAGGCAAAAGAGGGTGAAATAATAGTCTCACGAACAGTAATTGCATGAACAGTACCTTCGTGAACAATAATCGCGTGAACAATACCTTCGTGAACAGTGATTCTGACAGCAGAGAATGGCGACAGATTTTAGGGTTTGTGAGGTATTCGGCTGGCTCTGATACCATAACAATCTGGTATGAATTGTGTATGTATTGTGTATTATGAATGATAATTACACGAGTACATATAAGCCTCTAAGTTACACATTTAGCCCCCTAACTATATACTTATAATTAATAATTTAATATCGCCTAGTCTAATATGGGTCGGGGGTAATCCAACCTCGATAGGTTGTGGACCCAGTATGTAGTATGTATGGGCATTCCCTCGATAGGTTGTGGGTCGGGGTAATCCAACCTCGATAGGTTTTGGACCCATTGTATATTGGCATCTTGCCTAGGGTATTTCATCCCGAGGATGATTGGACCCGACATGCTTTTTTTTTTGTTATTACGGTTATGTGGTGGTACTTTGAGGGAACTCACTAAACTTTGTGCTTACAATTTCGATTAATGGTTTCAGGTACTTCAAAGAACCGTGGCAAGGCGACGGCGTGCCACACCTTATTTTGTGTCATTGGTCTTGGGAGACACTGATTTTTAAATAATGTTTTAGAAACAATGTTTTGTAAACACTTTTATTAGTAAATGGATTGTTTTGAAAAGTTTTAATTGGTTGAAATTTTTGGGATGTTACACGATGTGTGAAAACAAAATGAATAAAAAATTAGTGAGAATGCACGATAATGACGATAGTTGTTTGAGGTTGAACGTATTGACATTACCAAACAACCTATTATCGTAGTCATTTTTATAGAATAATAATATCCACAGACGTCCGCACAATAGATGTTCTTCCACATTTAAACCTAGCCATGTGTGTGTGTATGTGTGTGTGTGTGTGTGTGTGTATATATATATATATATATATATATATATATATATATATAACAATTTTTTTATTGCTAGTCATTTGTTAAAAACATATATATACTCTATATAAAGGTATAATGGACATTTACTTTGTTTAGATGGTTTTCTAATTTCCAAAAAAAAAGAGAAAAAACTTTAACTGTATCCATTCAGATATCTTAATATATATAAAAAAGAAACAACCCCTTAGTTAAAATGACTGACGATGCAAGGTTTTGAAACCATAAGAACAATCATCGTAACATTTTTTAAAGATATCCTGAAAGTGCAACTTTTTAAAACCATAAGAACCATTTATAAAACTGTCAATAATACATTAAAAGAAATAAATAAATAAATAAAAATCCTAAAAAATTATTTAGGTCAAACTGGTAAAATGATAAAGAAAAATAATTATAATACTATCCTTATTAACAACCCAACCCAAACCAAATTTTCTATTAAAAAAATAATTTCTCATTCTTCAACCTATACAATCAAATCTAACAAAATTTTCAACACATTAGAAATCCAACCCAAACCAACTATTTATTATAAATAAAGAATTAACATGAAATATGAAATATATTGATATTATACTCTATTTAAAAAGAAATTTTTTCTACAAACTTTAGTATTTTTTATTAATTTTATTGAGATAATATTTGATCTCCAAACTACAAATCAATAAAAACATAAGATATAACATATAAAAGAAAAAAAAATTGAGTGAATAGTTCACCGTTAATCATTTCATTTTGATTTTCTTTAAGGAAACAAGTCAATTGGGTCGAACGGACCACACGAGCCGAAAGTCTGCTTTTAAAATGCCTACAACTTCCTAATTCGTTTTATTTATATAAATATGTTATTATTTTAATAATATAATTTGTTTTTTTTTTAATCACATTGATTTTTATTAAAAAGAATCTAAGGAAATAGACAAAAGGCATTGAGCTTCTCTAAGTCGACAAAAATTAATTGAAAAAATAAATACAACAGTAAAACAATTAATGAAATTCCAAAAGAGACCCAAACAAAAAAGATAGACAAAGACAGCATTCAAATGTTTGTATGCATGCAAAAAGTAAAGGAAGTAGAAGTACCATCTTTCAACCATCAATTTCTGGATTTTTATTTTTTTTTGTAACAAATTCCCACAGCCACATAACATAAAAATCAAAATTAACCAAACATTATTTTCTAGAAAATTTCCCTATAAATCTCCATTTGAATTCGATAAATGTTTATATCGTGTCACAATGGCAAGCGTAGTGTGTCCAAAACTCGGTGGTTTTCCGGCGAGATGCCGCCAATGGAAGTTACCTCGGATTCAGTTTTTGGAGAAAAATATGTACAGAGTTTGGGAAAACCAAGGATTCAGTTGTCAAAAATCCATCAAAACTCCTCATGCTTTGGCAACAGAAGTTTCTTTCAAGGTAAAACTATTTTTATATTGTGTATTTTGATTGTGACTGATGTCAATGAGACAAAAAATGCAACTTTTATACTGTGTGTTTTTAATTTTTTTTATTATTATTTTGGTTTGTAAATGGTAGCATATTGAGGGCTGAAAGAGAGAACATAAAATGCTATCTTGATTAAGTGATCCAAAAAATCAGTGTGTACGCATATAAAAGAAAGTAAAGAGTAAATTACGCTTTTGGTCCTTGTGTAATAGCAATTTTTATATGGTAAAGAGTAAATTACGCTTTTATTATTATTTTGTTTTGCTTTTTCGGTTCAGATTTTTGTATTGAATTTTAGATCAAATTGTGGGGTTTTGGTTTGATTTTGGGTTTATTGAAGAAGAGATGAAAGACGTAAAGAAATTCAAGAACACAAGGGCAAAATAGTCACTTTATATGGTGGAGTGAACCCCGTTTCTATACAACGTGTAAGTCATGGACTAAAAATAGGTACAAAAAAACAGCAAAATAGGGACGAAAAAATACAAAAAGTTTTTTTGTCCACCATGTCTTAAAACCAAAAATTACATAGAGCCCAAAAATATAATTTACTTAAAATTAAAATAACAAAATATATGCTACGAACCCTTTAAATGAAATTCTCAAATAAAAATCTAAAAAATCACAAATCATCTCTCACATTCTGCAAAAAAATAAATACAGGCATCAACTCCTCTCAATGACAAAGATAGGATGCTGGCAAACTATGTGCCAATCTACGTTATGCTTCAGGTAAATTATTTACAAATATTTAGGCCCTATTTTATTTTGTTTAGATAAATGATTTTTTAACAATATTTGAGAAAACAATTGCACGAAAAAATAAATGAGAGCAAATTTATAAAACATTAGGACTTTTTGTAACAAGTTGTTCTTTCAGCATTAAGACAAAAAGAAACACTCATAAATAGCTTACTGGATTAAGGTGTTGTTTCCTTTTATTCTTTTTAGCTTATTGCAATTTAGAGTATGGTGATCTAGCTAAAGTAGCTTATAAACTAGCTTTTTAAAAAGTTGTTTGTGATAGCTTATTGATAAGCTAGCTCTCATTAAACATAGCCTTAATACAAATACAGAAAGTAAAGGAAATGAGGTTTTTCCCATTAAATTCTAACTTTTTACAAATTTGTGGTGTTTCTTTTTAACTTAATGGGGACGTAATTTAATCCGGAAACCATATATAGTTGATTTTTGTACTTAATGTAGAAAGAACGATTTAAAAGAGAGAAAGTAAGAGTCTAAGGGAAATAATGATTTCCGCATTAAGTTCTAACGCTTTACAAATTTGATTTTATTAACAAACAGTTGGAAATCATAACAAACGATAATGTTCTCAAAGACAAAGAAGATCTCGAGGAGCAGCTAAAGCAGTTAAAGGACGCAGGCGTTGATGGGGTGATGTGTGACGTATGGTGGGGGATTGTTGAATCCAAAGGACCTAAAGAGTACGATTGGAGAGCTTATCGTACTTTATTTCAACTTGTTCAAGATTGTAAAATGAAAATGCAAGTGGTCATGTCATTCCACCAATGTGGTGGGAATATTGGGGATGTTGTCAACATCCCCATCCCACATTGGGTCCGTGACGTAGGCGTCACAGACCCAGACATTTTTTATACTGACAGAATAGGGAACCGTAACGTGGAGTATCTCACGATTGGTGTAGACAATCAACCGCTCTTTGGTGGTCGGACTGCAATTGAGGTTAGGTTTGTTACGCTATAACAAATATTTCGATAAATGATTGTATACAAAGGGGAAAATAAAGGGATTTTTATTTATTTGTTTATTATAGCATCATATTTTCATACATTGTACTTTTAACTTTTTTCTTAATAAAGCAATGTACTTTAAAATATCCATTATGGTGGGATTTTTTATAAATACAGATGTATAGTGACTACATGAAGAGCTTCAAAGAGAACATGGTTGACTTTTTGGAAGCGGAATTGTTTACCGATATTGAAGTTGGGCTTGGCCCTGCAGGAGAGCTCAGGTACCCCTCCTACCCGCAGAGCCAGGGTTGGGCTTTCCCAGGTATAGGTGAATTTCAGGTAAGAAATAGCAATGCACTTTCTTTTTACTTTATACAAATTTCCCCTCATTTATTTTGGGTTAAATGCAAGAAATAGCAATGTACTTTCATTTATATGTTTATTATAGCATCCTACTTCGATTTATTTCTATTCGAACCTTATATCCTCAACTTTTTTTCTTTCTTATTTAACGCTTTGTACTTTGAAAAGGAAAACAAATTATTGAAATGAGATTTTATTAATATTTTCAGTGCTATGACAAATATCTCAAAGCGGATTTTGAAGAGGCTACAACAAAAGTGGGACACCCAGAATGGGAATTTCCAAATGATGCAGGAGAATATAATAATAAACCAAATGAAACGGGTTTTTTTGGATCAAAAGGTTATCTTAGTGAAAAAGGGAAGTTCTTTTTGACTTGGTATTCCAACAAGTTATTGATCCATGGTGATGAGATCTTGGAAGAAGCCAACAAAGCCTTCATGGGTTGTAAAGTGAAGTTAGCTTGCAAGGTAACAACAAGTATAAGATATAAATACAAGAAATAGCAATGTACTTTACTTTCATTCATTTCATACCAAAACTTAATTTCCATTTCTTTTGTGTTGAAAAAATTTACCCAATTATGTCAACTCATTTTAATTTACATATTTGGTCTTGTAGTTTCTAAAATGGTAAGTTAAAAGAAAAGACAAAACTAGGGGTATTTTGGTCAATTTACTTAGACAAAACTAGGGGTATTTTGGTCAATTTACAAGGTCTTTTTCAGGCAAAAAAATAAATCTGAGGTTTAATCCGGAAAAAAAACATAAAATATAAGGTCTTTTTTGAGATTAACCCTTTCCTAAAGATATCCTAAAACTGCTACTTTTTGGAAACCATTTATAAAATTTTGTCTAACTTTAAAATATCTACCAAACTATAGCAATGAAAATTGTTTTGTAGTATATTGCTTATAAATAGGTTGACTTTTCAAAGTATAATGTTGTAATATGAAGAAATAAAAATACATTCTTATTTCTTGTAAGTGGAAGTATCTAGTGCAGATATTAATGGTGTGAATTTTTTTTTGATAAAATAGATATCAGGAATCCATTGGTGGTATAAAGATGAAACTCATGCTGCAGAGTTAACAGCTGGATATTATAATCTGAATGATAGAGATGGATATTGCCCTATTGCAAGAATGCTTTCAAGGCATTATGCTGCTTTTAATTTCACTTGTTTGGAGATGAGGGACTCTGAACAGCCTACATCTGCAAAAAGTGGACCTCAAGAACTTGTCCAACAGGTTTAATTTGAAAAAACTTGAGTAAATTACAAGAATGGTCCCTGTACTTTTCTGATTTTTACCATGTTTAGTTCAAAGTTTAAATATTTTTCGGTTTTGGTAAAAAATTTCATATCGATTCCTATTTGGACTGAAGATGCTAAAAATTGAAAAGCATAAGGACCATTTTTGTAACTTTTTTTAAATATATACTTTCGTCTGAAAAATTTATGAAACATGCATCATATTTGGTCCAAGGTTTCATATCGATAACTTTGAAATAAGTACCAAAACTGAAGGAAGATTCAATTTTGGACTAAAGATGCTAAAAATTGGATAGCACAAGGACCATTTTTGTAACTTATTCTATGTATAAACTTTCATCTGAAAACTTAGGAAACAAGCATCACATTTGGTCCAAGGTTTCATATCGATAACTTTGAAATAAGGACCAAAACTGAAGGAAGTTTCAATTTTGGACTAAAGATGCAAAAAATTGGAAAGCACAGGGACCATTTTTGTAACTTATTCTAAATATATACTTTCATCTGAAAAATTTATGAAACAAGCATCATATTTGGTCCAGGGTTTCATATTGATAACTTTGAAATAAGGACCAAAAATGAAGGAAGTTTCAATTTTGGACTAAAGATGCTAAAAATTGGAAAGCACAGGGACCATTTTTGTGACTTATTCTATATATAGACTTTCATCTGAAAATTTAGGAAACAAGGATCACATTTGGTCCAAGGTTTCATATCGATAACTTTGAAATAAGAACCCAAAGCAATATAAACCTTGAAATAAGGACCAAAACTGAAAAAAGTTTCAATTTTTGGACTAAAGATGCTAAAAATCAGAAAGCACAGGGACCATTTTTGTAATTTATTCTAAATATAAATTTGCATCTGAACCTCTATGAAACAAGCATCACTATGAGTGTTTTTAGTTCCAATGTTGATTGGGCTCTTTGTGGAAACAGGAAACTACTGTTAGCAGGCTGTTGTGTACCTGATTTATAGATCTGACAGATGTTTTTGCAGAAAATTTGAACTTGGTTAATTTATGATGTTTCAAACGTGTAAAAACAGGTGTTTACTGCAGTGAAAAGAGAGGAAGGTATTATGGCAGGTGAAAATGCACTTGAAAGATATGATTATAAAGCTTACAATCAAATTCTTTTGAGTGTGAGGCCAAATGGAATCAATAGAAAAGAATCACCAAAACTGAAAATGGAAGCCTTGACTTTTCTTCGATTAGGAGATGATTTGCTTTTAAAGAAGAATTATAATCTATTCAAAAGATTTGTGAAGAAACTCCATGCTGATCAGGTATGTTTGTAGAGTTTTTTTTAATGATGAGAATGAGGAAGGGCATTTACGTCTTTTACAATAATGTATACAGGAGTATTGTTCAGATCTACGGAAATATTCAACTGTGGTCCCATTGGAGAGATCAAAACCCAAGATTCCAATTGAAGAACTTCTAGAAGCAACTGAACGGATTGAATCATTCCCTTTTGATGATCAAACAGACATGAGTGTTGGAGGTCAGCTTGATGATTTTATTGATGGTTTCTTCAACATGATTCCGTTTTTCTAAAACTATCAATCGAAAGTGTATACAAAGTTCCAATGCAAGATTTTGCAAGTGTTAAGTACATAAAAACAAAAAATTATAATGTTTTGTAACGTAAAAAGGATAAAAAGATAAAATTCGTGATCCTAGAGTATCATCTGAAAACGATTTGTTAAGATCGTAATTTTCAAACTATACATCATTCAGTTTGCAATTTGCATAGCCCTAACTATCACACACCAAGCATTTGGATTTGGTAATCAGAAGATTCAGCGTCTTGATCTTACTAAGAATCTTCTCGGAATTAGTGATTAACTTCATCCATACAATTCATATTATGATTCATTTCAATGACGATTACTACTGATTCCTATATAATGTTGTCTCGCGCATTTCATCAAACAGTTGTAGTGCGTACCTCATATCCCCAAATATTAACGTTTCATCTGGTGGAATCTAACTTGCATATAAAGGGATCGATACATGCAGCTGATGGATCGATAAAAGACTTCGGATTCTTCTATGATTCGATCGATTTCTCCATAGAAAGTTGGATCTCTTTGAAGCTATGCCCGCCTTAGCATAAGAGACAAAACTCAAAAGGCTAATGTTGCAGATTCAGAAAATACAGTTCATAAAAAATTACTAAAATGTCCCTGAACTTAGACCTAACATGCAACTATGGTCCAAATACTATTTTTGTTTCATTAACAGCCCTAAACTAATCTATTTCATACAATTTAGCAGTGTTGCAGAAATCGGCCTTGGCGGCCGATTAATCGGCGATTAATTGTTTAGCGGCCTTCAACCGATTACGATTAGGGTGTTTGGCGGAAATTTGTCAAAATCGGCCAAAGTCGAGATTGGCAGTCCTCGGCGGTCACCAGCGGGAAATTTTAAAAAAATTCAAAATTTTTAATTTTCAAATATTACACTAAAAATTTTAATTTTAAAATATTTAAGTTTTCAACTTTTAAAATATTATACTAAAATTTTCAAAATTTCAAATTTTTATAATTTTAAATTTTCGAATACTTAGTTTTTTTAGGGAATATTAATTTTTTAAATAGTTTTATTAATAATTTAGGGTCCCCAATTAATCTCTGATTAATCCCCATCTAGTCCATTTAATCGTTTATCGTCTGTCGACCGTCCAGCTACCGTCGAACGATTTTTACAACCTTGCAATTTAGTCCAAGTAGTTGAAAGTCTTGTGCACATGACTATGTTTACGCGTAATCGGATATAATTATTTGTATCATCCTCTTTAGACCATCCACACGAGGTGAAATGACATTGATGCATCAACTTTTGCAGTTACATACAATTCAGTTACATACAATTCGGTGCAATGCTAACATTGTTTTCTTATATAGTCTCTACTTACATATTGGTGAATACTTTATATTTGTTTTACGGGAAAATATTATTATATAAAACTTCAAAAACATTGGAGCTCTTATTCACATAAATAGAAAAATTATAAATTGCATATTTTACGATTAATATGTGCATGGGTGTAAATCGTTACTTACGACATCCCAACAAAGGCTTTTTTACTAAACAATGCTCGCTTATCATATCTTTATCTATGTTTAGAAAAAGAAAAACTAATTTAATGTTATGGTGAAAGTTTAATTGATATTCCATAAGAGGATTTACAAAATATAGATTCATCATCGTGGAAGAAATTCATGTACTTTATATGTATGAATTGTGATAGAAGAGACTTGGAAAGTTCCTAATACAACTAATTGATATAATCGCATACAGTGTAATCAACATTCAACTTTCTTATTTGGTAACTGTTTAGTGTATGCTTTCTCGAACCCAAGAAATGCTTTCATTGAAGGATGGATCTACATATTTTTCCTGGTAAGGAAAAAACATCGGTGTTTAACAGTCTAACGGGGTTTTTATATGACATTTAGACCAAGCTAGTCTTTTAATAATTTTGGTTGGGACCTGACCGAATTTGAGAAAAAAAGGTATATTATTTTTTGCTCTTTATCTTTTCTGTATGAGATGTAAGAATGTTACTCACAAATATATATTAAAGGGTGCATATTTTATTATTTTATAATTGTATGTTGAGAAATGTTTGACTTGTTGGAAAATCAAGGTTGAGCATCAGAAGCCTTATGGCAAGATTACTATGAATCTAATCACTAAGTTACTAAAGAATATGGATGTCATTTGGGTTATTATGGATAGGTTGATCAATAGTGCTCACTTTATAGCAATGCAAGAGAGTTTCTCGTCTGAGAAACTAGCTGACATATGTCAGAGATGTGATTATCTGTCGTGGTGCTCCAGTTTCAGTGATTTCGTACATAAACAACAAGTTTCCTTCCCGGTTTTGGAATAGATTTCATGGGGGTTTGGGTATTCGGTTATATTTCAGCACGACGTATCATCCTAAGATGAATGGTCAGAGTGAGAGGACGATTCAAACTTTAGAGGATATGTTGTAGGCTTGTGTTATTGACTTTGGTAGGAGTTGAGATTCATATCTTCCATTAGCAGAGTTCTCCTACAATAACAACTATCACTCGAGTATTGGTATGCCTTCATTTGAGATGTATGGTTGGAAGTACAGACCCCGATTTGTTGGGGAGAAGTGGGCCAACGTGTAACATCGTGATTTTTCACCCAAATTAAAAAAAAAACATTTACTTAACAGAATACGTTAGCAGACGTCTTATTTAAAGTTTAAAGGAAACATCACCAATGTTAAGTTTATTTTTAAAAACATCATTCATCAAAATATAGTTCATAAACCAAATCAAAATAAGTTCTCAAAAACAAGTGCTAAGAAAACTCCACGACATGTACAAACGATATCAATACTAAGTCATAAACTGGAATGTAACTACCCAAATTCCCCATCCTCACCAAGCCGACAAACTACGCTACCTGTACCAATGCAAGACAACAACAAGAAAAGAAACAAGTGTCAGCAAATGCTTAGTGAGTCAACCATAAGTACAATGTTAGGAAAACACACACACATAGCATATCATCACATACATCACACACATCATTTACATCGCATATTTCTCACTAGAGTATCATTAGGGTCTACCGTTATTATTTATCTTTTAGTATTAGATAATTAATTATTATTCCTAGCCCTGGGTCCATCACTAACCTACAAGGAAGATTCCCTACACATGGGTCCATTACTAACCCGTAAGGTAGACACCCCACACGTAGGTCCATTACTAACCTGAAGAAATAACTCGTTCACTACTAAGTGACCAGCCCAACCCTACCCCATTAGGTTCATCACTAACCCTGGGTCCATCACTAACCCAAGAGGTAAAAACCTCATTCACTACTAACGTGACCGGCTCGACCCAATACACTAAGTGAGGCGCGACTCACACTCGTAACATTGCTCTCGATTCGTTACGTTCTCTACTCCGACGTTGCACATACATGTATGCACGTTGTCGTTCGAGAGTGGTACTTGTCATTGTTCCCATCACTAGAACCTCCTACCCAAACGTGATATTTGATCCAGCGTCATCACTATGCCAATATCACTCCAGTCCTTGAACACCTTAGTGTCCATGAACCATGTCCCGAGTGGTGGTCTAGAAAAAACATTTGGCGTCACTAGTTGCTTAAGCTCTTTCCTTTTAGGTATCTTCCAACCCCTAAGGCCCTCACAAGTATCCAGATAGGGTACACACCTAAGTCTAGGTTGCTACCCTTTATGCCCCACTAAGTATATTCCCCTTTTTAATTAATATGTTATTAATTAATCACATAAGGATTACACTACTAACCTCCCTAAGTAATCATGCTTAATTTCTATTAATATTAATTGGCATATTACTTCCCTGTTTCACAATATGTAAACATGCAACAAGACATCGAGTAAAGGCATTTCACATCTTTATATAACCATGCACATATCATAATTTCATCATTAAGGCATATTATATCACTAGCATGCATTTTCCTAACCAACATAGACAAATATTACCAACAAATTATTACATGCATATATTCACACACAATCAACACAAAACTCTCTTTCTATCATGGACCTATCACACCCTCACATCAAAATAGAAACCAAAAAGTATAGCATGAAGGTAACATCATTTAAATAAGAATAACATTCACACTTGGGGTACATGCAACCTAAACAACTTAGGTTCATTCCAATCCCTCTAAGATATGAAATCTCTAACAAGTACTTTAAATAACCACAAAGATTGACTCACCTTGTCGAATAAGCACCCTTTCCACACTTCAAATCTTGTAGAACCTAAGGTATTAAACCTTACCCTAGTTAAACACAAATATATGTATTACTAGAAGTTTACATGAACAAATTATGGCAATTTACTACCAAACATGCAAATTGGTTAGTACGTCAAATTCTCATATTTTGACCTGGAACAACAGTCTGTTCAAGGCCACTTTAGCACCACTTAAACCTGTAAAAATTTCAACTTTATTATATATTAAGGTAGTTCATACTTTTAGTTTTAAAAGTAATATTCGCACAGGTCCAACCGATTTTTCTACAATTTTCTATGAATTTACAAGACAACATGTCCGTGCAGCTAAATTCTGACCAGTCAGTGAAAAACACGATTTTCACTATGGTTAGGAACAATATCAGATCCTAGTAAAAATCATGGACAAACTAGACTCAAAATGAAAACTTTGAGAGTTTACGGATTATCAATCTGACTTCTGATGATTTTTCTACATTTTTTTCAGAACTAGGACATATTGGTAATTTTTTTCAGAATTTCTTAGCAATGCATTTTAAGAGTTAATTGACAACTTAACCCATTAAGCCATAACCAAAATCAACTAATAAGATGGAAATTGAGTTATTAGAAGTTAAAATAACTATTCCAACCTCAATTCATGATTTAAAATACATTGTTTATATGGGAAAACAAAGTACTTTGCTAAAAGAGAAAACACCACTAGGGCTTGAGTTTTCTCCATCATTAAGCCTCACAATAGGACATTTTAGGGTATGTTTTGAAGACCTTTTGGATTGCTCAAAACATGGTCTTTTACAAAGAAATTACCCTCTTGAATCAGTGTAGCAATAACATGAGTTTTATCAATCACCAATGAATACAATGTTCTTAAAAACGTGGAGTATTTCAAGAACATGAAGCATATCATTCTTGGGAGAGTTCATACTTGAAATTGATAACAAGACATCAAATTGCTCACAATAAACTAGGATTCAATCATATGAATGCTCAAAGATTGTAAGGAGGAAAAAGATATGATCGTAACATCAAAATTGATTCACCAATTCAACTGGTTCCCAAGAAACTGAGACGAAAACATGAAAAGAAAAAAAAAACTCGAGAATTTAACCAACATTGGTTGATCAATTTCCCACCATAATCGAATCCACAAGAAATCGCAATACGTCTCCCAACCCGTGTTTCACTTATCCAGAACTACGCTGGGCGTACTCACACGCATGCCACCTTGCATGCATGGGACTGCCTCGCCAATTATTTCCATTAGGGCCCATAATTTATAATAACTTCAAAATACCATAACTCCCTCATCCTAGGTTCGTTTCCAACGAACCTTATATCCACGAAAAGGTGGAGAGAAGCCCTACGCTCCTAACAACATACCCAAGCCTTAAAACTTCCCGAACGACACCCTAAATTCATAGAAGACCGAGATATCAAATTATCATTATACCCTTGGCTTCCGAAGACACCATCGAATACTTTGATCACTTATACCAAGACACCCACATCCGAAATGGGCCAAATACTTCCTTCCCCGAAGCCATAAGCCTTGCGACAACTAATGACTGGACCGTAGCCCCAAGCAACGAAGTAAATCCGAAACCGAGTGTTACACAATTGCATTGTAGACCCTGCACTTTTAATTACTTCTATTAATCCCAAAATTAATTCCAATTAATTTCTGATTAATTATTAATTAAATAATGCTATTTATAATTAATATATTATTCTCATAATATATTAATAAACTATTTATTTTAATTTATTAATCACATAATAAATTAATCTCTCTCTCTCTCTAATAGTCATCCGGTCCAATTGCTAGGTTTGAGGGCAACCCAAAAGGACTGTGTTACTATCAATTCAAGTATATACCAATTATAGTTATGAGCTTAGACCCCTAATCCAACAACAAATACATATTATCCACTGGAGACATGATCTGGACTTTCTCTCATCTCCATTAAAACCACTAGAGACAACCACATACACCTACATAGTGATACCCGGTGCTACCTCATGTATCATTGCCAGAGAACTCGTCGTCTCCATTACTTTAGGTTTCCCCACCGAGACTGAAACCATAAAGGTGATATTTGGTGTTATTTGGTGTTAGAACATGGTAAAATCCGTTTTCAGATACTGCCTACCAGGTGCTCGATTCAATGCTCATGAAATCCCTTCACAAATCCGACAACACCGATCGCTCCAAGAAATTGCATCACCATGTAGAACATTTCCCTAGTTAACGATTGTTTTGTTGCAAATAAAAATATGAATGCCACAACTAGATTGATATGCCCCTCTCTTTGAGATTTGATCACGCTCATTATAGTTAATACCAAAATGTAGAGGAACAAGAAGGTTGTGATGAACTCTGGATACCAATTCTGTAAAACGACCATGACGCCAACTCGTCTGACTCGAACAATGGCTCCGATGGTGGCTCCTTGTAGTCTTTATCGGGGGAAAGGGATTTGACGATGGTAGGTCTACAGGTTGTGACGATTTCTAGAATAATCTTTATGTTTATGATGTTAATGCAAGACAATTGAAATCGAAACTGTGGTTAAAGAAGGTGGGTATGGACCGTTTGAGGGGTTAGAGAGGTCTACAGGTGCAGCTACGCTGAAGAAGATATATTTTTCTAATGTACCCACATGAAGAATTGGAGTCAAAGCTTAAGGTAGAAATAGAGAATAGAGGATGTTGGTGTGATAATCAGACCAGATTTTGAGGAAAAAGATGATATAGGTTGTTGGGTTATTTTTATGTCCTTGATGTGTGTGTATGTGAGAGAGAGAGCCTATATTTTAATTTAATAAAACATTAATTTATATAAAAAACATAAAAAAGAAAATTAGGAGGGTATGTTAGTCATTTCAAATTACTGAGGGACCAAATCTGCAACGAAACTAACTCAAAATGACCATGCAACTAAAAAAATCGAGGTTCAGACTAAACAGAAAAAATTCATACCATACGACCATTCTTTCAATTTTGTCTGAAATTTACCGGTCTCCGACTATTGCAGTTAAACCGGAATTCAATATTCATCTTCACCAAAAGACACAATCGAAATTTGCAAACCACCCAATGAATTAATTCTCTCCGAATATCTTCACCAAATCTTCAAGCAAATAAGGGTTTCCGGATTTTCTGTTTCTAACATCTGATTCATATTTTAGCAGCTCAGCTTCAGCATTCAACTGTTTGAGATCAATCATGTGTTTGTTCTTTTGAATCAATTCAATTACTCGGTACAGAAGTTTGTTTTTGATTTAACATTAGGGCTGCCAGATCAATGTCTCCCTAATCGTAGCGAAGATTAATTATTTCTTAGTTTTTCGCGATATCGCATTCCAAAATCCCTAAATACATCCGGGATTCTGTGAGTTCGTTTTTTTTTTTTTTTGAATGTTGGGTTTTGATCGGAACTAAAAATCACAAATCGGGTGCCAAATAGATCCGAATTCGTCGAATTAGGGTTTATTCGGTTGGTGATTTGAAACCAATCTGAATGTTGTTTGATTTTCGTGAGGCTACAAAGGCGTTCTTGTTTAATTCCGAGGTTATGTGCCAATGTTGGTGTGATTTTATGCACACAACATTGGATGAAATGGAGAAAGGAGTATCGTGGAATGAAAAGATAGATTAAGAAACCGATGGGCGCTATAAGGGTCCATTTTGGTATACTTCTCGCTATTCTTTCCATTTTCGAGTTTTCTGAAGGAAATCACAGAGCTTCGGAGACAGCTTCCTGTAATGGTGGCCATTGGAGTTCTCAAAATCTAGATGAAAACACCGTATGCTTTCTTTCCTCATTTTCCTTTTCATGAATTAGTTGATAAGCTAATGGAAATTTCTTTCATCCAGGCAGAGCAAGTGCGGATATATTGTAGGAAAGAGCTTGGAGTTGGAGAAATCACCAAAACTATCAACAAATTCAACTCAAAACATGATGATATTGATACGCCATCAAGAAAAACACTTATGCATAATGCTCGAAAAGAGTTATTATCTCCGGTCAAACATGAATCTCTGGTCAAACATGTAATCCGAGTTGACTCAGTACCCAAAAACAAGCCTCCGGATCATGTGTTGCTACTCGGGATTATTGTTTCAACTGCTATAGCGACACTTGCTCTTTTTGTTTTAATGGTTTTTTGTTGCCTAGGTGGCATTCAACCAAGAGCTAGATCTCAATGTGCACAACAGGACAAAAAACCGAAACCCGTTGTCAATATATCCCCCGAGGGCATTTCAGGTATAAAATTTTGTCTTTGAATCTTGATAAATCATGTTTAAAAAACTCGATTTCTTTTTTTCAGGTTCTTCACAAGCACCACAGGCTGTTGTAGGAAATAAAGATTTAATTAATTCTTTTAGCACCAACAATTTATCGACAAATGTTTCTTCTCAAACACCAGAACTTGGAAAATTACCACTTCCACCAGGAAGAAGCGCTCCTCCACCACCACTACCAGCAGCTCCACCGCCACTGCCGCCGCCAGCACCTCCACCGCCAATGCCTCCGGCTCCTAAAGCACCACCGCCACCGCCACCCCGAAATGGTCCCCTCCCGCCTGCTCCACCAAAACCAGGTGCTATGAAAAAGCCACCTGGCCCACCTCTGCCTAAAAGAGGGCATCTCGCTTCTGGAGATGAAAAGGGTAGTTCTGGAAATTCAAGTGGTAACAAAACAAAGTTGAAGCCGTTTTTCTGGGACAAAGTGAATTATGCTCCTAATCGATCCATGGTTTGGCGTGAACTTAATGCAGGATCATTCCAGTGAGTTTCTAAACTCATTTGAGGGCATTTCCGTCCTTTTGCACATGAAGTTGCAATTTCTGTCCCATTCTAGATGACAAGGGCATTTCTGTCTTTTCTTAACACAAGAGATCAAGAGCAAGTATCTGTTCCACCTCTTTGGACATGACAAAAAAATGCAATTTGTGGTCTTAATAAGGATATTTATGTCTTTTGCATACAAAAGATGACAAGGGCATTTATGTCTTTTCCATATACCAGGTCAAGAGCAAGTGTCTGTCTCATGTCCCATCTTTCTGGACAGAACAAAAAAGTGTAATTCTTGTAAGATGAGAAGGGCATTTATGTCTTTTTATACATCCATGTTGGGTGGGACAAATTTTGTTTCACGGTTTACTGTCAAGGTCAAAATCAAAAGTCAAAATCAAAGTTTTGACTCATTACATAAAAATAAAGAAGTTTCTTAAATGGACAGATTCAACGAAGAGATGATGGAAAGTCTGTTTGGTTATTCTTCTACAAACCAAAACAAGGGCGAAAGTGTAAAATCCGCATCAACTCAACCAAAATTGATCCAAATTATCGATCCCAAAAAAGCACAGAATTTGTCGATTGTTCTAAAAGCATTAAGCGCGACAATAGAAAATGTCTGTAAAGCTGTCACAGAAGGTGAATTTTCACTTTTACAATTTACTAAAAATTAAATAAACATTCTACCTTTTTTCACAATTTACGCAACAAACTGATTTTTTTTTATATGTGAATGAATTATTATTAGGTAGCATGCTTCGTGTAGAGTTAATTACAAGTTTAATAAAAATGCCACCAACACAAGAAGAAGAGCTAAAGCTTCGATTATATCAAGGTGACCTGGCACTTATTACTCCAGCTGATCGATTCCTTAAAATTTTGGTTGAAGTCCCTTTTGTGTATAAACGTCTTGAAGCTTTGTTGTTTATGAGTTCTCTTCATGAAGAATCTTCTCCACTTAAAACTGCGTTTCTCACTTTAGAGGTACCAATTTATTTTAGATTTAAAAGCAAAATGACTATTTTACCCTTTCGTAGTCTTTTCACCAACCTACTTTTTCATATCGGTTTAGAATAGTCAGGTTCATTCTAGCTGCAACAAAACTTAGTGTCAATGTAGAGCAAAATTACTTATACGCCCTTGGTGTCAAAATAGAAAATTACTATTTTACCCTTTTGGCATACAGGTAGCTTGCACAAAGCTAAAAAACAGTAGGCTCTTCCTAAAACTTCTTGAAGCTGTTTTAAAAACGGGTAACCGTATGAATGTTGGGACATATCGTGGTGGGGCCCAAGCAATTAAACTTGATTCCCTTTTAAAACTTTCGGATGTCAAGGGCACAGATGGAAAAACCACATTATTAACATTTGTAGTTCAAGAAATCATCCAATCAGAAGGAATAAAATCCGCGCGTTCATCAAACATTAAAACAAATGATCAAAGCGATGAATATTATCGAAAACTCGGTCTCGAGGTTGTTTCTAAATTAAGTAATGAACTTTCGGATGTGAAAAAAGCAGCAATAATTGATGGTGATCACATTACATCAACGGTTTTAAAATTAGAAAACATGTTGAAGAAAACAAGAGATTTGATCGATGATGAGTTGAGTAAAACGGAAGGTGCTATTGAGTTTTGTGAGACTTTTAATGGTTTTATGGAGCATGCGGAAAGTGAGATCGTGTGGATGTTAGAAGAGGAGAAGAGGATAATGATGATGGTTAAGAGCACGGGGGATTTTTTCCATGGGAACTCGGCGAAAGATGAAGGGTTGAGATTGTTTGTTATTGTTAGGGATTTTTTGAAATTGTTGGATATAGTGTGTATTGAGATTAAGAAAAATAATGAGAAGAATAGTAAAAAGAAAAATATCCCCTTGGGAAAAAGGGTACCCCCGGGCCCACAGAGTCGACAACTGTCGTGGTCTAGTGTTCGGGATAAATTGTTTCCGGCTATGAAAGATAAAAAGATGGATTCTTCGAGTTCGGATGATGATGATGATGACATGTCTCCTTAATGAGCTTAATAGGACTAAAATCTGGTAAGCTATATATGAGTGTTTTTTGTTATATATGAGTTTTTTTTTTTTTTTTTTTTTTTTACAGAAAGAATGAATTAATAAAGAAAGTCAAGGAAATGAGGCTTTCCTATTGACTATTGAGCCCTAAGTTGTTTACATCGTCGTTCATTTTATAATTATGTATTGCAAGTGTTATTACTTAATTAAATGTTTATTTTAACATCATTGATCCAGACAACATATAACGCGAAAAGGCTTGCTTCTACTTCATTAAGAAGTTATGAAGATTATACGAGTTGATAAAATTATGGAAATGATGAAAAATGGCATCTTTATGGTTACATTTTGTTACACAAGGCAAGACATGAGAATGAACAAGCTTTCTATGGTTATTTATGATGACGAGGATGAGGGCATTTATGTCTTTTACACAAACGAGAGATCGAAATCGAGTCACTCACTCACATCTTGTTCCATGTTTTTTGTGTGTGAAAAAAATTGCATTTTATGTACAATCGACATCAAACTTACTTTCAATTTGGTGAATGCCAACTATACTACAAAGGCATTTGTTTTGTTATGTCCTACATAACAAACGGGGCCTACATATTGAAGAAGACGAGGGAAAAAAATAGTGTTCGAGGTAAATTAGTTTATTTTTATGTATAACATGTAAATTCAATTGTCATCTAGTTAGTTTTAGGGTCTAAATATTCTTATTTGTAGATTTGTTTTATTTGTAACAAATCTGACCTCTTTGTTGTTCTCGGTGAAATGACTAATCTTGGATTAGATGAATTCCATTACATTATTATTTCTAGCTTGAAATTACTATAATCTTCGTAGGACAGATATGTTTCTCGTGAAAACTCGTGTGTTGTTTAAAACTCTTTCAAAGCACTTTCAGACTCTTGCAAATCATTTTCAAATACTTTCAATCACTTTCGGTAACTTTAGAGAACTGCTAAACATTTTTTTTAAGAAAGCATGTGTATAAACTCATACATTGAAATTATAATCAAACATAAGATAAACATTGTATAAAAACAATGCAATACATGATACACTCATATGCCGACATTCCAAGTCAACTCATCAAAGCCCCTTTCCTCGTTTCTCGTAACATGGTGGTAACAGATCACGTGTATAAGCTAACACACAACATACATAGCAAACACATGCTCAATAACTCTTCAGACTAGGTAAAATGTGAACAACAAACACCTGTACCACACAAGTTTTAGCAAGAACCAAGTGTCTAGAATAAGTTATGAAATGCAAACATAATCCCACTTCTCGTTTACTCATAAGCTCGAATATCAATGCTCCATCCAAGTGTCCTGACCATAATTTGTCACTTCACTCATAACCTCATGAGTTAATACAACATGCACATGATCTATGCAACAAATTGTGAATGTGTAATCATTATAAACTATGTATATGTTGCATTCATTCATATGAGTAGATATGGGAGAAGATTAGTGTGGACCTAACACTTTGACGATGCATACATATCCAACTTTATGATGTGTGTTGGCATTCTAGAAAGGTCAACATTGCACTAGGGTGTTGCAAGCCCTTGAGTTAGTAAGTGTGGTTGTGGTTGTTAACATTTTACCTAGCATCGTACGACAGAATCTCCTACCAGGCGTGGCATATTTTTCTTTTATGTAGTTGCACATTTCTTTTAAGTAGTGGTAAAATAATAGAAAAAAAAAATTCAAAATTTTTTACACTGCATACAGAAAAAGCAGGCGTTGCTGGTGTCAGTGTGTGAAGAACAAACTCAGTGGAGTGTTTGTAGGTGTTTGTGTGCCAAAAACTCATAAGGATATAATCTCATCATGTGTAACAAACAGAACAAGGTGGACAAACAAGAAAGAAGAAAAAAAACTAGGGACTAGAATTTCGTAACATAAATAAGCCTATAGATTTATGACCCCAAAAACAAACATCAAGATTAGCATAAGCATATTCACAAGTCATAAACTATGGGAATTAACAAAAAAAAAAAAAAAAACAGTAATAAAAACCTAAAAAAATATGACAACAAAAGCAGTAGCCAAATATATCTTCTTCATCTTGACCTTCCCTTTTCTACTTCTCTCATATAATGAGGTAAATAACTAAAAACCAAAAAAAAAATATTACTTTTACTTCTTCACCTACCCAATAATGAATTACAAATTACAAGACCTACAAGGGCAAAAGGGGAAACTGTACACAAGAATAGAAGAAGCCGCCCGATATTCCCATAATGCTTCTTTGAATGTTTCTGCCCGGGTCGGGTCGGGTCAGGTCGGGCAGTGCAACAAATCTAGGGCTGGATTTTTCTTTTTCTTTTTCCTTTTCATTTTCAAGTTAAAAGTCTGTCTGTCTGTTTGTTTGTTATCTATCATCCATCATCGGTCCCACATGGCCTGGTAAATAGCTGGTCTATGCTTCAACCAATGCACCAAGTCTTTATCTAATGGAGACTTGTTTAATAAAGCATCCAACATCGGGCTGCCCAAAACCTTTGGGCAGCTTTTGAAAGACCAAATCTTGTCCTTTGGCCATGCCCTTTGCGGCTGCTTCTCCTGACCAAACCCAAAAAAGAAAAAAAAAAACATAATTTCAGTATAAAATGTCTAACAAAATGAATGAAAAGTAGATTGCTATTTCTTGCATTAAAAGACTGACCATTCTAGAAAGCATGGATTTGACAGTTCGTGGGCCATAGACACGTTGTGGGGAGGGTTTTTGGAGTTTGGCATAAAAGGAGCCAATTTCGGGCAGGGATAAGCAACCCCGGGCAGCTCGGACAAGGTTAGAATCTGGCTCTGCGTAAGCTTGGTTATGCCAGAAAATCAGCTGCCCGAGACAGTAGTTTTTCCCGTATGTTTTTCGGTATTCGTGCAATCCGGGTCCCACTTTTACAGCTGCTTTTGGGCCCAGGTCCAGAGGGCTAATGTACACAGGTGGTGATACCACTGTTTCATACTCCTACAAACATCATTTCACAAATTAAATTCAAATCAGAATATATTTATATCAAATTACAAATTTAACCCTAACTGTATTTACCCGTATTCTAAAGAAGTACTTTGTGTGAGCATAAATGTGAATCAAGTCTGCAGCAGCATCATGGCGACATTTGTAAGAACACGGAAGGTTCCGGACCTCGTCACGCAACCTTAAAAAAAACAAACATAAGTAAATACAAGTAGATAGGATATGGTATAATAGATAAATAAATTAATTATTATTATTATTTACCATAATAAAGATTTTCGAAGTGCAGTTTGGATGTCATCAGAAAAAGATGGATCATGAGAACGAATACTGGATCTAAGTTCAGTTAAATGTCCATCTTCCATATGAGGTGCAATTGATTGAATAAGTTCATCAACAAATGATCCTTCGCCTTTCCAGATGAAAGAAATTACTTCTTTTGGAGTCAGTTTTTCCACTAATGGTGGAGCTTCTTTTGGATCCCCAAAAACCTTCTTCATCACATATCTCACCTGAACAAGATGAATTTATATTTTATAAAAAGAAAAAAAAAATATTCGGGAAAATTGAAAAGGGGAAGAAAGAGTTTACCTTGTCGAGTGTAAGAGCCAAATTCTGAATTCTTTGATTGAAGACACCCTCAGCTTGAATTTCAGCTTCGTTTCTCTCGGTATCCATGCAAATATCTGTGAAGTATTTCCTCTTTTCTTCCAAATTATGAGTTAAAATCACTTCCGGAAGCTTAGTTCTTTCAAAATGGATAAACCTTACCTAAAATATAAACAGATTGTTGGAATTGAATTCGTGTTTGTCTTTGACTTTGACTTTTTTCATGAATATTTTAAAAAAGAGAAGTGATATATATACCAAACGAGCAGCATAAGCAACTAGCCAATCAGGTAACCCACTAAGTAAACAACTACCAAGTCCAGCTTTACTTAATTCAATATAATCCTCTTCTGAAACTGAATTCACTTCACAAGCTTCTAGCATCAACTGATGCCTATTTAGTATCCCATGGCATTCTTTAAGTACCTAAATAAAATAAAAAATTTGTTATTCCAGTTTCCCTTTTAAAAAAATTAGATTCGGGATTTTAAGGAATTCAGGAGCTTACTTTTTGAAAAGCTCCTTCACCTGTTAGATTCAGAAAGCTCCCTCGACAAACTTGGCTTCCACATAAGCAAACAGATGCTTCGTATTCTTCTTTACTCTGTACATCAGTAAAAAAAAAATTAAATATTTAAAGAAATTTATATTTTGACCAAAGTCAAAGGTTGCAGAAATTTTACCTCGGTGACAGAGTTGTAGTCAAAAGTAACTTCTTCTCCATACACAATAGGGCGTACACTATATATCCCGATTTGGTACTGACCATCAACAGCTGTTACTCTGTTTTATTATTATGCATGAGAATAATTAATGATATTAAATAAATAAATAAAAAAAAAGTAAAATAGTAAATGGATTAAAAAAGTAAAAAAAAAATTTACTTTGCTTCACAATTCGGTCTACAGGAATGACATATCCGGCTAGCATAGTTGGCTTTATGCATTGCATCAACCACAACCAAGTCATAACCATCGCCATCCCCCTAAGAAAACATATATTGTAAGGTAAAAAATTTTAAAATCATTCAAGAAGGGTATTTTAGTAAATTTGAAATTACCTTTGGCCTCTCGAGATAAATGTTGTAGAATTCAGGTGCAGGTTCTTTACTGTCTTTTTGTAGAGCACGAACACCATCTTGCTTCTCAAACCATCTCCAGGCAGGATACACCTAAAAAAAATAATGTAATAAACATATATTTGAATATCCGGAAAGGTGAAAAAGACGTAAATGCCCTTGTAGTTAAATGGTATCCTTACCTCTCCCAAGAACTCCACAACAAAATCATCCTCGGTAAAACCAGTTTCTTTGTTGCAAACAACACCAAGCCCCTGAATGACAGAAACAATAAACAAAGATTAAAATCAACCCAATTACAATTATGACAAAA